TTTTTTAATATGTGCCATTCTCACTGGTGTAAGATGGTATCTCATTGTAGTTTTGATTTGCATTTCCCTGATTACAAGTGATGTTGAACATTTATTCATATGCCTGTTGGCCATTTGCATTTCCTCTTCAGAGAAGTTTCTTTTTAGCTCTTCTGCCCATTTTTTGACTGCATTATTTTCTTTGTTTTTGTCATCAGTTCTTTGTAGATTATTGTGATCAGTCCTTTATCATTACTGTTGTGTGGAACTGGAAGGGATCATGCTTAGCAAAATAAGCCAGAAAGAAAAAGAAAAATACTGGATGGTCTTTTTAGAAAACCTAAATTAGAACTTTATTTTATTTTATTTTTTTAAAGAGTTATGTATTTATTTATACAAGCACTGGGTACAGTCAGAAGCACAGGAGGGTGAGAGACTTCACCAGAGACAGAGCAGGGAGCAGAACAGGCAGACTGACAAAATACACTGCTGAGGGGAGCAGCGGGGAGAGGTCTGCGGCAGGAGAGGTCTGCGCACCATGTGGGACCCTTGCCAGTGGCCAGGGATCGAACCGGCGCTGCAGAGGCTGCAGGTAGCTTTGCAGCCCAGCACTCAACCACTGCGCCACCAGGGGAGGCCCGAAATTAGAATTTTAGAAAACCTAAATAACGGACCAGGAAAAAGACTAATTATAATAAAGAAAAAATCAAAATCAACAAGCAACTATAAACCAGAGACACATGGGGGGGGGTGGAGAGGGATTAGGACCAAAATAAGGGGGGGTGGGAATTATATGGGGACTATAGCCAAAATAAAAATGCATACATTGTGCAAAAATGAAAAATGATGTAAGAATTATATAAAATAAAATATATTTAAAAAAATAAAAAATAATAAAAAACAACAACAATAAAAAAAATGAATGATGAATGTAAAAACATTCTTAGCTCACTGCCTTTACAGAAAGAGGCAGGCACCTGGTTTTGGCCCATTATCTGTGGTTTGCTGACTTCTGTTCAAGTGTGGCAGAAAGTCCCTTGGAAAGCACAGAGAAATGAGTGCTAGACCGCGGGGGAGAAAGACGTTTCAGAGAAGAAACACAATGAACATAAATGCAACTCAACAGACACACTGAAACTTGGCAAATTCTATTTGTAATTTTAGTGAATTTGTGAAAATTAAGCTGAGTGGCTTTTAGTAGGATTCCATTAGAATAGCTTAGAATATAGAATATATTCAAATCAAAGTTTAAGTGCATATTCAGACCCATGCTTTTTTATGTTTATTTTTATAATCACTACCATCTCTTTATTCTTTCTCCCTTTGCTGTTATTCAATTCCCAACACATATTTCTTTTTCAGTCCTTTGTATTTTGAGGCCTTTATAGATTGGAAAACACGAGCCCTCTTTCTCTTCTGTGCCCTCTTCTTATACTTGTGTAATCATAGAACCTTTGAGTGAATCACGTCGCCTTTCAGCACCACTGTGTTCGGTGCTAGTTAGAATAAGTAGAGCAAACAACTACAACACTATTTCATGACAGAGGGAGGTTTACTTCAACTTCTCATGAAGTTCCATGCGGTTGAATGACCACCTTCATCTTGCAACTATATCAATTCCAGATAGTAAGAAAGGGGTAGAGAAGACTTCCTTTTATTAAACAAATAACTGATTGGTCAGAATTAATCACAGAAACCCAATCTATATGCATACAAGACTGGAAAATGAAAGGGACAATGCTTATGTTTTTGTTGAACTTAAATGGTATGTGAAATGATCATTTTAAGTAGGGGTTGGCAAAAATATTCTCTAAAGGGCTCAATAATAAATATTTTCAAGTATCTAGATACATAAATATACATATTATATGTATGTATGTATGTATGTATGTGTCCGTCTGTCTGTCTGTCTGACATATATAATATGGCTTGTCACAGTTTCTCAACTCTGCCATTGTAGGTGAGAGCAGCCATGGACAATAAGTGAATGAATGGGCAACACTATGTTCCAATAAAACCTTTTCAGAAACAGGAGCAGGCCAGATGTAGGTCACAGGCCGTAGTTTGCTAACCTCTCTCTTACAACATGATACTCTCTTTGTCACCTCAGATGCCTCAGAGAACTGTGGGGAATGACTCCCACCTCTATGTCCCTTATGCTGGCTGATGATCATCAGACAGTTCTGAAGAATTAAGTGAGAATTAGTTCAGGTGAATACCAATTAATGGTTTCCCTTTGGAATTTCCATAGCCTATCTCCCTTCCTTCCAAAACGTCATTTGATGCTATACCAGGGTGAGGTGATAGCATTCTGCTCAAAGAAAGACGAGGAAATATGTAGATTTGCACCACCATGTACTAAGCCATTGATAGTCTTGATAGCATACAAGATTAGAATTTATGTACTTCTGGTATAAAACTGTAATATATTTGTGTTTCCCACCAAAAACTTATCTTCTGGCATCTATCCCAGTGAGAAATCTGTGTCATCCTAGACTTCTTCCTTAAAATCAAGACTTTCACATGCCAAGACCTGAATAGTTAACCTTATTATAATCTCCTGAAGACATCTGGTATTTCTAACCCTATTACCAGTGCTTTATAGACCTCATTATGTCTCTGCTGGAATTCTATAACATCCCCCTAATTAGTCTCCCTTCCATAATTCCAGCCTTGACCAATCCATTTGCTAAACTGCTATAGTGTGTTTATTGAAGTGCAAACCAACTACAAAACTCCCTTGCTGAGAAATCATTTAGTGGTTCCTTAAAATATTTAAATTAAAGGCCAAATTTCTTAACATGGCATTTTAGAGCCCTAAATGATTTGGCCCCTGCAACTTCCAATATTTTACTTCTTGAACCCACTACTATTTTTACATACTCTACACTAGAGTCACACTGAATTACTTGAGTTTCTTTCCTTGCCCCCATTTTCTTCTGGCTGCCTAGCATCTGCCTAGGAACCCTGCTACATCAAATTCCAACTAAACCATCAATTACCTTTCCTGACCCCTTGGTAAATTAGAGACCCACCCTTTGGTTCCCTTTGTGTTCTGTGCGTCCATTTGTCACTCTGTTACTGTACTCTACTGTACTGGTGCATGGTCCTTGGGTTGCTTGTTTGTTCCTTCAGTGCATTTCAAGTCTCCTATTTCAAGTCTGTTACCACCTGGAGAACAGGATAGTATCTGTCTTTATTCCTATCACAAGTTTTCTATGGTATTTGCAATTTAGTGTTCAGTAAGCAAATATTTGTGCAGTGAATTAATGTAGCAAAAAATCACTTGTTTGCTTTTGTGATTGCATAACATTGTGTTTTTAATGTAATTACAGTTTGGTGGTTAGTTGACAAATACATGTTTAAGAAACAGTAGAAGCAAGGGAGTTATATACATCAGTTGACTTGACCTTTATATATATAAAGTTTATGAAGGGAAACATTATATAATTTGGTCCATTACCTATATTCAAAGTAAAATCACAACACAATAAACAAAGCCACGGTGATGGATATAATTTTTTTCCCATTGAAGCCAGAGGCTCCAATGCATTTTAATTGCTGTGATATATTCTAGTGGAAAGAATACTGAATGTGAAATTGAGATTCAGTAACCCCAAGCACAGAAATTTCATGAGAAATCAAGTCTGACATTACACCTCAATCTTGGATATTTCAAAAACAACTTAGTTTTACATGGGTATGAATTTGAACTCTTTTACTGATTTGATGTGTCATGATAATAAATGACTTATACTTAATTGCATAACAGTATTTATATCTCTCAATTTCTTTCATAAAAATATTGCAGTGGTAAGAGAGTAAAGCATATTGTGATAATTTGAACACCTTATGTTAAAAAGCTTTCAGACACAGACATTTTCAATATCATTGTCTCTCTTGGATTATAGACTAAATAACACTTACATTAAAAAAGCGTGGCAAGCTGGAAAAACAGTAACTTGGATATTTTGCAAGAAAATCTGTGGACACATCAATTAACAAATATTTGGTAGTAATGGAGATATTAGTAAGCCAAAAATGTATTGCACTTTCTGGAAAGTAAAGTACAATAAACTTTAAAGAGTTGTAGTTAACATTTTGTAATTGTTACAGGGATTGTATTTCAGTCATATAAATAAGGTTAAAAAGGAAGATAAGTTGGTTTGAAATGTGAAATGTGTACAAATCTGAGAACCAAAAAGATTAGTTTTTTTTTTTTTTTTTTTCTGAAGGACTATGTTAGAAGCTGTGCTCAACAGGGGAAAAGTGAATATAATTAAAGCTATGGGAATGAACAGAAAACTGCTATAGGGAACAATCCATAACTGACAAGGAGTATAGATTATACCTGTTATTACTCGACATTTTTAACTTTTATGTTTACATGGACTTTTCTTGCTACTTAGGGATTAATTAAAATCCTGAAAGAAAAAAAAATCAAAGTTCACTACAAATCAAGATTCTTAGGTCTAAGAAAATGTTTTATATAACTTTACTTAATTCTGATGATAAAATTTGAGCATATTGTACTTGAAGACATTATCTAATGCCACCAGTTTCTTGGACTATATCAAGAATAAAAACATGGAACTGTCTAAACTCTGCTTCAGTGTTGTAAGGGTCTTTTATTATTAGATTTTATATTCAGAGAGTCAGGCAAATGCCAGATGCTTAATAGATGTTAGTTGAATGAAAGGTAATTTAAAATTGCAACTTTCAGAAATGATCATTAAGAGAAATTCTGTACATTTTATTTTTACAGTATTCCAGGGGAAATCTAACAAAACTCTAAATTATTACATCAACTATGCCATAATATTTTTCATTAAACAGCTTTCTTTTATTTAATTCCTCAAGCAATTATTTGTGTCTCTTTGTAAAGCGTAATTATATTTTCAGTATAAAAACCAGATAGTTAAAACTGAAAAAAGATCATCACTTAGATTAAATTGATGGGGAAATTGGGCTGAAGATGAACATGATCATACTAATACTCTCATCATGCTCATTTATTTTAGCCTAAACAACGAACATCTATTGTGTCTTCTCTGGATT